GGCAACCCATACCTGCGCAGCTCAGTCCCTCCGCTGCTTGTGGCAGCTAGTCCAGTCACAGCAAGCCGTGCACTTCTGCCACACCCCGAGTCATGTTGGGGTGTTAGTGAACGAGGTTGCGGACTCTCTGGCTTCCTTCGGAGCCTCCGGCCTGGAATGGCACCACCTCCCGCTATGCACGGCCGCCGGCCTCCTTCCCCGAATTGAAAAATTCGGGCCGTGGCTATGGGCTATACGCCGCTGCCGCATGCAAGGCGGTATACCGCGGTTGTATGTTTGCCGACCCAGAGCTGAGCCAAAACCTGCCTCTGAGTCCTGTCCTCAGCTCGTCCCCGAGCTGGGAGCCCAGCCCTCGTCCCGTGGGCAAGCAGCCGCTGAAGGTGCACGAGACTGTGCCAAGGTTAAGGTCGTCTCAGCCAATATTCAAACCATCAAGGATGATCGCAAGTCCTTCTTCTCCGCTGCGGCTGGCGGCCAGCGCCGAGCTTTCCTGGTGAAGCAAGCCCAGGCCCTCTCTATCGACGTGCTTTGTCTACAGGAGTGCAGGAGCAATGCCGGAAGGTATGCCGCCTGCCCCTACCTCACCTGGCGCAGTGGGCATGAGAAGGGTCAATACGGGGTCGAAATCTGGGTCCATCAAGGTGCCTTTGGCGGCGACCTGCAGCTCCAAGACTGGCGAATTGTGGCTTCTTCTTCCAGGTATTTGGTCATCCGTTGTCAACGGCCTGCCTTCCCGGTCGTCATCATTTCCGCACATGCTCCTCACGCAGACAGGCCTCAGCAGGACATCGTTGACTTCTGGTCCGCCTTGCGACGTGAGATCCATGCCTTGCCTCTCTCCACTCCCCTCCTTATTGGAGTGGACGCAAATGCGGACTTCACCGCGGCAGACGGTGAGGGTCAGCTCATTGGGGATCTCGTTGACGGGCGCCCTCCACGGGAAGGGGATCTGCAACTTCTTTCCTTCGCACAAGACCATTTCCTTGAGGCTCCCGCCACTTGGAGCCGCTTGCATCAAGGGCAAACCTGGACATGGCAGCACTCTTCCGGCAAATGCCGGCGCCATGATCATATTTTGTTTTCTGCAGGTGGTATCCGTGCGACATCCTCGCAATGCCTTCCGGAATTTGATATCATCAACAGCACCCTTGATCACGTCCCGATCTCCTGCAGTCTACAAATCTGCGCAGAAACGGTGGCAAATGCACAGGACCGAAGGCGCCGCCCTATCCCCCCTGACTCCGTTGCTACTGCAATCGCTAGCCGTGTGTGAAAAAACTTCTCGTACCCTGGGGATCCCGAGAGAGCCACGTCAGCTCTTACAAAAAGGTTCCACCGGTTTGCCAAGGCTGAGCAGCGCCCTGACCGAGTTGTACCGCGGCAGCCGTACATCTCTGATGAAGCTCTCGAGGTCCTCACTGCCCTCAAGGAGCGACGCCGGCAGCTCCGATCTCACGCACGAGTGTGTAGTCGTAATCTGATGCACTTGGCCTTCCGGATCTGGAGCACGCCGGATCGCCCTCGGGGTCATGTTCGACAGTGTGTGCGAAATGGTCACCGCGCATACGCCCGCACTTGGCTGGCGGTTCTCCGGATGAAGGAGCATGCGCACTGGCTCGCCAGGCGTGACAAGGCTGCCCACTTCCAACAGCTCACACAGAGTGCCACCGACTTATTCTGGCTTGACACCGGGCGAGCCATGGAAGCCACTCACCGGCTTCGTTGGGCCTCAAAGCGCGCGGCCGAGCGACGCAAGGTTTTTGCTGCCGGAGGTCATGACATCGACGCTGACTTGCTCCGGCAGTTCCAACAACAGGAAGATGGTCAGCGTCTCACTGCTCAGGAACTGCAAGCTGAGCTGCGCAAAGCTTCTGTAAGCTCCTGTAGGCCGTGTTCGGAGGCCCTGCCGTCCCTCCTCGATGTCGAGCATCAATGCCGACGGCAAAAACTGCGCAAAGCGCCCGGGCCTGACCGAATCAGTAACGGTCTGTGGAAAGGTCAGCCTGTCGCGGCGGCCCAATGGTTGTGGATGCTGTGCGCGGACATTGCGGGGCGAGGGAGGGAGCCCCCTCAGTTCAAGGCCGCGTTGGTGTGCGCCTTGCACAAAAAAGGCCCAGCCAGCGTCCCCAGCAATTATAGATCCATCGCGTTACTCAACGGTATCGCGAAGATATGGCACGGGCATGTCCGCCACTCCCTGGGACAGCAAGTTCTCGGCGCCTATCATCCTCTCCAGCTGGGGGGCCGTCGCGGAGTGCACACCGGCTTTGCTGTGGCATCCTTTCGATCGCTTGTTGCCTTGAGTGATTTCACAGGCCGCTCGTGGTTCGCCTTGTTCCTGGACGTGCAAGCAGCCTATTATGAGGCGGACCGACAGCTTCTGTTTGGCCAGGACCATGGAAGAGCAAGGCAGCGAGAAGCCTCCCGCCTCGTTTCTGGCCTCCTGGCTGATGGAGTCCTCCGTCACAGAGGCATGGCCGAAGATGTGTGTGCGCTCCTTGAGGACTGCGTACGTTGCTCACATTGGTCGCTGTGTGGTCATGATGCCATCATCTTAGCGGGCAGGGGTAGCCGGCCTGGCGACGGTCTGGCGGATGTGCTCTTCGGGGCAATTTTCGCACAAATCCTTGATGATGTTGAGGCACAGCTTGTGTCCTTGCAGATTGGACACCGCTCAGCCTCTGAAGCCGTAGGCGGACCATGCAGGCCGATTCAGATCGCCTGGGCCGATGATCTGTCGGTCTTGGTTGACGCCGATTCGGCCACCCAACTTGCTGATGAGGCCCCTGTCGTTACGCGGGTTGTAGTTGAGACTGCCGAGATGTACCGACTGAGGGTGAACCTCGGACCGGGCAAGACTGAAGGCCTCCTGCATCTCAGGGGCCCAGGCGCCCCCGCTGCTCGTGCTGCTCTGCTCCTGCCGTCTCCGCAGGTCCCCTTCTCACCTGGCCGTACCCTGCGTCTTGTGGCAGAGTACAAGTACTTGGGGGTGCCACAGACAGCACCCGACAATGGCCGCCGAGATGCCGAAGCCTCTGTGCAGCGCGGTCAGGCCGCCTGGAGCCAAGCGAATGCCTTCCTGTCGAGGTCAAGGTTGCTTGGTTCACAGGCAGGGTGCTGCCGGCAGCATACTCGAGCCTCGCCACTGCCCTGGTCGACTCGGGTCGGGTCTGGACCATTTACCAGGGGTTCTTCGACAGATGCCAGCGATCCCTTGTTGCGCGAGGCGCTCGACGTCCTGGTACCGGCCGCCACACCGCAAGTCGCCACTATTCTGTGCCGGGCGCGCCTTGCAGTTCAAATTGCCACCGCTGCCCCTGCTGCCGTCCTTGATCTTGTCGAGGCCTCGTGTGAGCGCGATTTGTCGTGGACGTCCCTTCTCAAGGACGCAGTGTGCACAGTTGGCACTTTCGCGGGGCTGTCTCCCGATCAGTTACGGGACAGCCCGATGCGGATTGCCCGAGCCCATGAAAGACTCCTGAGAGGCGCCTGCCGACGGTTCGGCAGATTCGGCTCCGGGCTGCTTGCCTTCCACAGGCTCTGGCGCAGCCGCGCCATCCGTGTACAAACTGGCACTATCGGACAGTCCCACCCCGTGCAGTGCCCAACGTGTGGATGGATTGGACGTACTGCCCAGGCTCTTGCGGCGCACCGGCACCGCAAACACGGCACCCTTGCTAGAGCTACTGAGCTCTGTAATGGTACACCTGCAGCTGGTGTTTGCGAGATTTCCACTCCTCTGATCGTCTCAAGTACCACATCGCCACCTCGGCCGGTTGTCGCCTTCCCCTGGAGATTTCTGCTGAGAGGCAAGCTTTGGACAATGATCAGCCGTGGGATGCCGCCGCTCTTCTTGCCGAGTGGGAAGAGGCCCAGGCCTCTCCCGAGGTCGAGGAAACCCCACACACCGGAGCAGCTGAATCTGAAGCGGCCACTGCTCCCGGTCTGCCTGCCTCTGCCTCTGCGCTTGCGATTGCCCAGCTGGCTGGCAGAAGCTTCTTCTTCCAGGGCCAAGGCCATGCTCCATCTCCCCTCTGGTCTGGCTTGAGGCGAGGAGCTGCCGGCTGGTGGCTTCCACACACTTGGCAACACCTCGCACGGTTTTGGCAGGCCATGGCCGATTCTGCTGCCCTCTCGCCCGCAATCCTGACTGGTTACCGGGCGGCCATCCGCTCCCTTGCGGATGTCCGTGACGTCCCGGCTCATTGCCCGGTCTCCGGGGGAATCTCCGCTACGGGCCCTGAGCTTCTTCTGCGGCATACTCTCACTTTTCTGCACCTGGCTCGGCTGGTGCCGTTGGGTCATGCCCTATGCTCTGACGTACCACCCAGCAGTTGTCTTCGCGCGGCTTTGGGTTGCATTTGCCCGGATGCCGCTTGGTCCCTCACTGTCGTTCGGGATCATCCTGCTTGGGTTTTCGCTTCTCTCGGTTCTTCCTTGTCGCGGCTTGCCTTTCTTTTCCGGCATCCGCCCTCTCCTCTGGCTTTCGCGGCTCCCCATCAGCTGTCTTCTTCCTGAGCTGCTGCTTGGGCTCCTCCTGTCTGATCGGGTTGCCTCCCTGCGGGTTGTTGTGCACGCCCCGGTGGTGCACCTCCTCGCAGGTTTGTTTTCCTTTCGGTTGTGAGTTTTGAATTGGCTGCAGGCTTTGCCTGTTTTTGGCCTGCATGCGACCGCCCCGGACTTCCGAATGCGTGAGAGAGAGAGTTTAGGGTTGAGGGTTTGGGGTACTCGGAAAGCCCCCTACTGCTTTGGGTAGCCTTGGCACTGAAACACTTGACTATCAGTATTAACAACCATTGATCTTTGTGAGTTTTATCACCGCCATCATCATGACTCTGCTGATTCTGATGCTTATGCTGATGCTGCTGCTGATCATCATGATGACGACGTTTTTGATTATGACTGTTACTATTGCTCCTATTAAATTATGGTTGACTCCTGACTATTATTGAATGCCCAGCTGAACCCCCTGCAGCGCCTTGGAAAGCCTGAAAGCTGAGGAGCGTGGTGAAGGTGTCCCTGTGCGAAGGGGAGGCGCCGCAACAGGCCTGCTTTAGGGTTGAAGGTTTACGGTTTTCACTTCCTAAATCCTAAAAAACCTGCTGTTGCATTTCAAGGTGCCATTTGGGAGTATCAGAACCTGAGGGATCCTATTGAAGATATGCGGACATCCTGAATCCAAAATCTTCAGCCCCACAAGCTAGGCGCCAACGCCACGAATCGTTCAGCAAAACCAGAAGTACTCAAATCCACCAAACCCTCAAAGCATTAAACCCCGCAACCTAAACCCCTAAAGCCCACAACCCCAAAACCCCAAATCCCCTTTACTAGAGCCTTAGCAACCCATTGAACTGTAGTAAGTCACTACTTCAGAACTCATTTTAACAACCTTTAAAGAGCCCTTGCAAAACCCAACGAGGTTCCCTATTGCATGGCCCTGGGCTATACCAAGAGCATGTGTGCGGCCGCGATGACCGGGGCGCATCTACAGGCGCCGACTCCCGACCTTTGCAGGGAAGGGTTTAGGGTTTGGGGTTTGGTGTTTGGGGTTTGGGTTTAGGGTTTCGGGTATGGGGTTTAGGGTTTGGGGGAGGGCTGTTAGGGTTGTACGGCTTGGGGTTGCAAGGTTTGGTGGTTTGGGGGCTTGAGTTGGTTGTCAGGGCTTGAGGATTTCGGTGTCTTGTGGGTTTCGGGTCTTGGGGGTGAGGGTGGGCAGAGTTTGAGGTGAGGAGAAACGGGTGAAAGCAGTGGCTTAGGATTTAAGGTTTAGGGATTTCGGCGGGGGTCATGTCCCCAAGAGACTAGACCTTTGCAGATCGTCTGGCGTGGTTTCGAAGGGTAAACTTAAGCCCGAAGCCATTCAACAAAACTGGAAGGAACTGCGATGGACAAGCACGTGCCTTTGCCAAGATTGCGGTTTGGGGTTTGTGATTCGAGCTTCAAGGTTTGCATGAAATCCTTCGAACGCGACTGTGCAATCGCCCCAAAGCTTCAGGATTTAGGGTCTACTCGACTGTGCAGTTTGCGGGCAAGTAAGCCCTGCAATTCTCAGATGTTGCTCCTTAGCCAGCAGAGTCCCCACTCCCCAAGCCCAACTTTCACCCTAAACCCTAAACCCTAAAACACCGCAATGACTGAAACCTCAGCCTGGAAAGCTTGAAGCAACATTGCGGAGACCACATGGATAGTTCTCTAAATTAAAGGGGCTTTGTTAGGGTCCTTTTTAAAAGGGTGCCGTAGTATTTTTGCGTGGTACCCTTATAGAACCCCTTTCGTATAGAAACCCCCTATAGATCCCTTGCAGGAACCCTACCCACATTGGAGCATCCCAAACTCCAAGGGTAAAAGGAGGGACCCTTAATAAGGACCCCTAGGTATATACCCTTAACGTTATATTCCCATTATATGGCCCATTACAGGGTAGGGGTCCCCATTAAGGGTCCCTCCTTGTCCCCTTTGATAAACTCATGACCTTTGTGCAAAAAGGGCGCCTTGCCACTCGACGGTGAGCTTCCGGCGATGCGGGCGCTGGTCATCGGGCGCGGGGGAGGGTTTAGGGTTTATGGTTTAGGCTTCAGGGTTTAGGGTTTAGGGGTTTCAGAGCTTTCAGTATCCATGAACTGGTTGGCGAAGAAGATCTTCCAGGAGTGCGCAAATGATTTGTCCGTGAGTGTTGTGATGGTTTGTTTATGTTAATTAGGTATTTACGGAGTGTGAGGCTCGCTCCTGGCAGTGCGGCTGGGCTCCTGAATCGCCTCCTCAGAGAATCGGGGTGCTAATATAATTTAGAATAGGTTTTGGGGCATAAAAACTATACCTAGAATAAGGAGTCCCCAAACGTTATTCTAAGTATTACGGCCCCTATAGTACGGACAGACAGAGGGCCTCAGGCGGATTGGCAGAGTTTGGGTTCAGGGCCCAGGGGTTTGGGTTGTTGGACCTTGGGGGTTTTCCTTTTCAGGGCGTCATTGCCCTGACAAATCGTAGTGCATAGGCTTTGTTTAAGAAACCTATGCAAAAAACTATGTTTTTACAAAGCCTATCCACCCAAGCCATGGAAGGCAAACCCAGAGTTCGAGAACCCACTGCGATCGCAGAAGAGGCTCGGGGCCGGATCTATGCCGCTCTGGCTGCAGCACACCTTCCCCGAGGCGGGACACCCAAACTGGCAGGATAGGGATTCGGAAGTGGATGTCTGCAGCTAGAAGGGAGTTTCTGACAATTGGGGGTACCTTGTTCTGGGGTCCTTATCACAAGGATCCGATTATTTAGGGTACTACATTAGGGTCCCCTATTTTCGCAAACTCCCAGAACTCTTCCTTGAAAGTAAATCCGAGGTCAGAGCATTTTTTACCCTCACAGTCTCTGGCATCACGTCGGCTCTACGCCAACATTTTGGCAATACGTGACGTGCGGTACAATCTATCAGATACTTCTAATCGCAATAAGGTGAAGGACGAAGCACTTGGGCTCTGTGTGTCAGCTTGCTTCAGTTAATAAAGGGGCGTTCATAATTGCCTATACTATTTTGGGAGTCCCTCTTTATAACTATGGCATAACATACCCGAAAAGCCTGTTCTAATTATTAAGGCCCCTTGTTGTAGTGCCAGGATGAGGAGAGCCAGTTCTCCAGAGTTGCTGCGCCATAAACCCCCCGAACGCCAAGCCCTAAACTCCCTCAACTTAAAACAAACCTCCCTGAACCTCAAACTCTAAACCCCAAACCTTAAACCTTAGACCCAAAACCTTAAGCCCCAAACCCAAAATCTTAAGCCCCAAACCCCAATACCCCAAAACACACACGCCCGATATCCCGAACTCTGAAGGCTGAAGCCCAGATTCTCGGACCCGGTTGGGTCTCAGTGTCAGCGAAAAGAACTTTAGGGTTTAGGGTTCGTTTAGGGTTTAGGGTTGAGGGGTTCAGGGTTTAGGGTTTAGGGTTTCGGGTTTAGGAACTTTGAACCCTAAACCCCCCAAAAAAACATCCTGGAGTGTAGGGTTTTGAGTTTATGAAACTTCGACCCTAAGTCCTTAGGTTTAGGGAATGTAAACCAAGAATCAAAGCCGATCCACTGCTAGAAGCTTAAGAAATTACCAGTACCATTCCTTGCAGTTCAAAGCAAGGGTCCCTTTTTGCACCTGCTTGCACATCCCCACCATGCTCAACTACAGCGAAGCGGAGGAGGCCCCCGACTGTTTCAGGGGTTAAAAAGGGGGTCGTCGGTAACCCCTTGCCTCCGGTGAAGCTTCGCGCAGGCCAGCCGGGCAGGGAATGGCCCCGCTCCGAAACCCCACCGGACCTCCGTTTAGGGGGTTTTGCAGTAGGAAACTATGCTCGATTTTTTGCGGCCCCTTGTCGCGGAAAGCAACACTCAAGTCAAGGGCCTCCGTGTCCCGAGTTGTTTTGGGTTTAGGATGCATGCAATACCCGAAAACCCCGGAGCAGTTGATATTTCAGTGGAAAGCTATATGCAAAATCGCGCAAAATTTCGATTTGAGGCCAGTCCTTACGGCACAGGAAAAGCGCCCAAGGTTCGAAAAAAAGGCGTTACTAGATTTAGCTGCCTAGCGGCGCAGCAACTCTACAATTGTGACTGCTGGCGTGCAAGAAAAAACACACTTGTAATGCAAACGCCGAGACTGTAGCACCGGCGCCGCGACTGTAATACAAATGCCGCGACTTGTAGTGCCAACGCCGAGACCGTAGCACCGACGCCGCGACTGTAATACGACTGCCGCGAGCGCGGCGATCGCGATTGCAGGAAGTGCTATTTGGCCGCGATTGTAGTACCTTCGTCGGGATTGTAGTACCGGCGCCCTAGCGGCACCCACGCCGCGATTGTAGTGTCGCAAGCGGCGTACCCACACTGCAACTGTAGGGCCCGTTCCGCGAGCGGCGTGCCTGCGAGCTGTTAGCATCCCGAAAGCCAGGGAATTGGCACCACACATGTTTGTTTCGATTCCGCATGCACATGTGTGTGCCGAACACAGCCGAAAGTCGACCGATGATTGGCTTCTAGCGCCCCGCAAGTTTCTGCGAGCTACTTTTTTTTCCAGTTACGCCGCTGTGCCTGCGAACTCTTAGCATTGCGAACGCCAGCGAACTGGCGAAAGCGTTTGTGGTTCTGCACACCGCGTTGTTTCTCGCGCCCCATGACTTTCCATGAGCTACTTTTTAAAGTTGCGCCGCTGTCCCTGCAAGCTCCTCGCAGAGCGAACTCCAGCAAACAGGCAAATGGGTTTGCACACTTGTGTGCCTTGAGATTATTGTTTACACCGCGCCCAGAAGGGACAGCAGTAAGAACGCGGAGTTGTGGTGCCAACGCAGGCCAACCCCCTAAGCCTGTAATAGCCACGCAGCAGCTGTAGTAAGTTGCCGCAGGACCGGACTACCGTAGCACCAGCACCGCCGCGCGACTGTAGTACCACAACATACAAAAATTCATGCGACAGGTGAGTGATAAAGCAATTTCCTTTCAAGTCGTGGGCCCCACGGTGTGTAGAAACATCCAGCTGGTAACTGAACATGTGGCCCCGCGGCGCATTGGTGTTGGACGGGCCTGGCAACACGGAGGACTTGGATGTCACCGTGACCCGGCGAGATCTTCACGGCCACGACTGGGAGGTGACCACCGAGGCCGCCTGAGTTCCTTCGGCGTCGTGAACTGACTGCGTTGTACATAGGGTTGGGGTCCCTCCAGCCTCGAGTCCACTTCTTGTCTGAAAGGGCCCTGCGGAGTAGGTCATGCCTCGTAGGTAGCTGCGCTTCTACTTACTGCTTCTCGTCGTAGTGCAAAACTCCTTTGTTTCACTGGGTTCACAAGAGTGTATGTCACGTGCGGGACTTCGGCATGCCGTGCATTCACCACATGTTTGTAAGTTTGCTTGCTGACAAGCTCTGTTGTGCTCTGGACCTGTACAGTGTGTCTCAGCCTGAGCTTGTTGCAGCAAGCTTCTCGCGGTTTACACCGAAGAGCGAAGGACGCTGCAGAGGACCTATGGGCTTCTGTGGCGAAGCAAAGTCAAGGCTGTAAACAGATTGGTCAAGTGAAGGAAAGCTCCTACTGCTTTGAGCTGGGCAACGACCTTGCCAGGGTCGGCAGATTTCTTCGCGCCATGGCGCCCTCCTCGGGGGGCGGCTCGTCTTGCGCACATGATAGATATAGATGGAGATCGCTGCAACGGATGCAGCAGCAATTCAAGGAAGGGTTTCTGCTTCCGATGGCAAGGAAGCAACGGCAGATCGAGGAGGCTACAATTTCCATTGCTGGTCTCAGGTTCCCTTTGGTGGCTAGAGCGCGGGGTTGCTCTGCCAGCATTGTCTCGATCTTGCAGTGGTTTGATTTCAAGGAGAAGCAGCGGGCAGCCTTTTTGGCATGGGCTCGTGACGATATCAAGCGACTTTACAGTCTTGGGGTGCCTGGCTTTTGCTGCTGGGTTCAACACGCTGATTTCGGCTTTTTGAACTGAGGAGGCGAGCATGACTGCGGAGTTCATGTAGCGTCTCCTGATTTCCATGGCTCAAAAGCAGAGGCAGCGCTTGATTGCAAGAGGGGTCCAGCTGACACGCGGCAAAACCGCAGCATGGATGAAGTCATCAATGCAGAGTGGGGCTTAAACGAACATAAAGTGGTCCACAAACCCAATTTCAGCTATGTGTATTGCAAGTGCGAGAGGCAGCCTTCCTGCGGGATGGTTCTAAAGTACACGCTTTTGGAACAAGATATCCGCCGTGAGAGCAAGAAGGAGCATGTTCTCAGCAGGAATCTCCGAGAAACCGTCCGTGAAGTTGCCGAAATGCCTTTGAATCCAGCAGCTGCGCTGGTGGCATGGTCACAAAGGAACCCTCATGGGGCCGATGCTGACATCCCAACCTGCAGCCAGGTGAGCCGACGTAAAGCTCTACAACGGGTTCGGCACCAGGAGAACAGCATTAAGCAGGTCCAAGCTTTGGTATCATACTTGCAGGAGCGGGAGGTCGCTCAGGATTGGGAATTCGAGATTCTGGCGGAGGACATGGCCCAGGGCATTATCTGTTTTACCTGCGGGTTCTACATGAGTGTGTTCGAAGAGCACAAAATAGCCATCAGACAGCACGGCCTTCGGTTGGGGTGCGATGCCACGCACGAAATCTCCAACTCTAGAATGAAACTTTTTGCCCTGGGGTGGCTAGCACAGCATGATGGCGAGGGTGTTATTCGGAACACGTTCATTCCCTTGGCCTTTGCGCTGGCACCATCCGAAGACAGCAGTGCAACCGAGCTGCTGCTGCAGAGCACCGATAGGCATTTGCAGGAGGCATGCGGGTTGACATTGAAGGATGCCCAGGTAGCTCATCTTGATGGCGGCACCGGCCTAGTGAAAGGATTCCAGGACTACTTTGGCAAAGGGACCATAATTTTGACAAGCACCCACATGATTTGTAAAACTCTGAACCGCAATGCCGAAAGGGTGGGTACGTTGTAACATAAATTTTTATGTGCTACGAGGGGATACTGTTTTTCCGACCCCGAAAACCTAGACCCTGAACCCAAAAACGATTAAACACAAACTTGAGCCCTAATTTACTCTCTGAACCTCCAACCCTGAACCTCGAAACACAGAACCCTGAACCCTAAACCTGAACCCCCAAACTCCCTTCAGTGCAAGATGACAGTGGATGCCTTGGAGATCGACCCGGCAGTGGTCAAGGCCAGGGCGGCTGGGGTAACATAGACAGAGCATGAGTTTGGGGTTCCGGGTTTCGGGCTCAGGGTTTTATATATGTCTCAGGTGTAGGGTACATGTCTGAAGAGAATATCCCTTTGTAACCACAATCACACCACACTATGCTATCCCTCATGGACACGATATGGGTAATTTTCAAAATTACGGCCCTTTTTTGGGTACCCTAAATATTACTGTAGGTGCCGTATTATATTAAGGACCCAAAAAGGGACCATAATTTTGACAACCACCCATATGTATGTATATATATATATATGTATATGTATATAAATAGCTATAGAGAAACATCTCCTCATACCGTTGTCTACAGCCAGACTGCCACAGAGTTTTGTTGCCATTAGCACAGGCTCTCTACTTGAAGGTTCATGGGTAGTTATAAGTAGGGTTATACGCCCCCTAATATGGGTTATAACTACAGTTACCCTACTTATAACCCCACTTATAACTACCCATGAACCTCCAAGTAGGCCCTAAACCCTAAACCCTTAGAGAATCCCTATAGATCCCTTTAAAGGGACCCTTAAAGGACCTCTTATAGCTACCCAGGAACCTCCAAGTATTCTGAGGCTTTGGATTTGTGGCTTTGGGTCCAACCGGAAAGCTTCGGGAGCCTTTCGGGTTTGGGGATTCGCGGACTTGGTGGTGTACTTGGAGGTCGGGGGACTTAGTAAGCAGACTTATAAGTACCCTGAAAGGGACCCTTATGGGGTTGTGGTACTTATAAGTCCCTAAACGAACCGGTTACTAAGTCCCCCGACCCTCCAAGTAGGGTGTAGGGTTTGGGGTCAGGGCTTGAGGTTTAGGGTTTGGGGGTTAGGATCTGGGTTTAGGATAAGGGGGACTTAAGCCTTGCGATGCGCCAGGGTTTAAGTTTGGTTTCCGGTTCTAGTGTGACCTACATAATCCAGGGATAGTAGCAGTCATCGTCGGAGTGCCTGAAGTCTGAAGTGGTATTTGTATGTGGCAGTCGTAGCGGTAGCACTACTAGCTAGCAGCAGCAGTCCCCGATTGTGCATGTGATTCATATCAGGTGGCAACGGATGCCATGGGCTTCCCCAAGGGTGCAATCCGCGATGCAGCCTCGGCCGAGGCAGATATCTTGAAGATGTTAAGTCAAAAGTTTGCGTAGTATTGAGGCCGTGATAATTAGGATAGGGCTTGGGCGTGGATTGTAGCACAAACACAGCAGGGAGAATTAGTGGACACCATCAACAGTTTTACGCTTTTGCAAATCTTGCGTGCGTGGCGTGCGATCAGTTTTGGGAAGCCCTCTTCGAGTTCTTCTTCGAGTTCTTCAGGCACGTGAATTACTCCCTTTAACCCTAAACCGTAAATCTGTATTTAAAGGTTCCCTTTGAAGGGATTCCTGTTCTTCTATGCAGCAAAGCCCCCATATTCTGGGGTCTTGTTGAGGAACTGAGTTCAAACTTCCACAATAAATGAGGAAACCATAATATTCACCAAGGAGCCTTACTCTGCTATATACCCTAAAGTTAGTTTCTTAACAAGGGCCCCGTATTACACACACACCCCTAAACCCTAAACTCTAAGCCCTAAACCCGATAAGCCCTACAAACCCGAAACCCCTAATGTCTAAGCCCTAAACCGCTTAACCCTAAACCCCTAAACCCCTGAACCCTAAACCCCTAAACTCTGAGCCTGAACCGCCTGAACCCCTAAACCCTAAACTCTAAGCCTTAAAACCCTAAACCCCTAAACTCTAAGCCTTAAACCCCTAAACCCCTAAACTCTAAGCCTTAAACCCCTAAACCCCTAAACTCTAAGCCTTAAACCCCTAAACCCCTAAACTCTAAGCCTTAAACCCCTAAACCCCTAAACTCTAAGCCTTAAACCCCTAAACCCCTGAACTCCTAAACTCTAAGCCTTAAACCCCTAAACCCCTAAACTCCTAAACTCTAAGCCTTAAACCCCTAAACCCCTAAACCCCTGAACCCTAAACTCCAAGCCGATCTCGTCCGACAAGGAGGCTGCCAAAGATGCAGTCTCATCCCAAGGAGGCCTCCTCACTTCGTTCAGGGTTTAGGGTTTTGTTTAGGATACTTCTGTTCGGGTCCTTGAAGGCGTTTAGGATTTAGGTGGTTTAAGGGTTCGTTTTGGGTATTTTTCTTCGAGTCCTTATAGGGCTTTTGGATTTAGGTGCTGTTTGTTACAGGGTTTGGAGGGTTTGTGCTACTGTACTTGGGGTCGTTATTTCAAGGGTTTCGGGTTGACGGGGTCCTTTGGATGTGCTTAAACTGACCTAGACCCTAAACCAACCCTACAGGTAAGCTGATCTTCGAGTTTTGCGGGGTGGAGCTCTGAAGCTTTTCCGGTTAGGGTTTAAGGTTTATAGGGTGTTGTCATTGACATCGTTTGCAGTACTCCTCAGCTCCGTGCGCCATCAAGGCTCAACGCTCAAGCCCTGAAAATTTGGATCAGACCCACTGTTGAAGCTGCGCAGTAATGGGTGAATGCTGAGCTCGAAAAGCCTTCAGGCCAAAGACAAAGGCCAAAGGCAAGCGAATCCCAAGACCATAAGCATCCTGAGCCCCTATCCAAGCCTTAAGTCATTTAAATTCTAATTCCGGACCTGCAGCGTCCTGGTGCTCTACGAATTGGCAATCAAAACCTCTGGGGTCCAGGATTCCAGGATCGACCGCAAAATCCAAAGTCGTGCGCTCAAGACCGTAGTTTGAGGGCTTGAACAATTAATACTTTTTTCCACTTGGTACTTGCATAGTTCTACCACATACCATCAGCAACCCTAGTCTAATTCTTAAGGCCCTTTTCTTAGCCTTGATAGTAACCCCTTATCATAACTTCAAGGCGCCACCTAACGGAATCCTATTCTCATTTTAGCTTTGAGCCCCGATCTGGGTAGTTCTCTAAATTAGGGTCACTGTTTAGGTCCCCCAAACTAGTACGGCAAGGGTAGAAAATTGGACATTAAAAGGACCCTAATTTAGAGAGCTACCGAATATACTACGTATATGTATACAAAAGTACATATATACCAACGAGTGCACATACATAAAGAACCATCAGCCCTAAACCCCAACCCTGAAGCCCACCTTCAACATGCAATCTTGCAGAAATAGCCAGACAGTCACGATTTCCAGGTCTCCGTGTCTACAGCATTCCGGGCGAGGACTTCGTCGAAGCCCTGGCGGCCACCGGCGAAACGTACCTCGGATTTCGGAGAAACGGGGTTTACAGGTTGGGATTTCGAGTTCCGGTGTCTACAGCGATTTTTGAGTGAGTTTTATTTGAGAGAAGCACTGCACCCACAAGCTGCACCCACAAGCCTGCACGCCATCCAAAAGCACATCCCTAAACTAACCGTTTAGCTTGACTTGTATAGGCTGTATAGGGGTAACAAAGACAAATACATAGTAGTAGCACTAAATCAATACAGAAACAACAGCAAGAAACCTTGAAATATAATAACCCAAAGCCCTCAATGCGAGGTACCAGTACGATATGGTCTTCGTCGATGCCTTTGACAAGAGCGGCAAGGTGCCGTCTTAACCGCCTGAGCCCCTAAACCATACCTAAAGGATCATGGGACTTAGTAACTATGGTTATATGTACTTGAATTGGGGTTCAATAGTTACCTTATATATAACCTATTGACTACTCAGAGACTTCAATATCCCTCAATCAAGGAATATTCCCTAAATCATATTCGGGATCCTACTATAATTTAGGGTATATTTCTTAATTAACGGGTATTGGAGTCTCTGGGTAAGCCCCATGATCCTTCAAGTATCCCGGCAAGGTGCCCCCCGTCCTGGTGGAACCGGACGGCACTTTCTTACAAAGCCTGAGCCACCCGGACGAGCCTTTGAGCTTCTTAGGTTACGGGTTTTTTCAAGGTTCGTTTGGGTTGTTTGCGAGGGCTCCATAACCCTAAACCCCTAAACCCTAAACCCTAAACCCTAAGCTTTGGGCTTGTGGGCTTTTGGGTTGAGAACTAGTGGCTTTGGGGTCGACGTGTGTTGGGCTCTCAGGCTTTCAGGATACATGGCCACAGCGATTGAAACCTCGCGGTTTCCAGGTGTTCCCTAAACCCCCAAACCTAAACTCAGGGCTTGAGAAGCTCATGCCATAAAGATCGGGTAGACAGCTTGGGGCAGAAGCCATGATCCGTAAACATACACCCTGAACACCTGATTACCGTTTAGGCTTAACCGCAATCCCCAAACCTGCAAACCCCACACTGAACCCGAAAGAGGGGATGCGTCGGGGCAGATGAGCGCCGACGAAACGGGTAGGCAAAGCCGCGAGCTTCTCGGGGCATCCGTGTCTCAGGGCTCGAGACGAGAATGCAGGTTTTAGGGTTTGGGGTTTTCGGTCAAGCCCAACCGCAGGCTTTGGGGTTTAGAGCCCCCTGAACCGCAAGAGCTCATAAACGGCTTAACGCCCCCTGAAGTACACCCCTAAACCCCTAAACCGCAAACTGCTTAAACCCTAAACCCTGAACCCCAAAACCCTAAACCCCTAAACTTCTGGACCCTAAACCCCAAAGCCCTAAACCCTAAACCCCTAAACTTCTGGACCCTAAACCCCAAAGCCCTAAACCCTAAACCCCTAAACTTCTGGACCCTAAACCCCAAAGCCCTAAACCCTAAACCCCTAAACTTCTGGACCCTAAACCCCAAAGCCCTAAACCCTAAACCCCTAAACTTCTGGACCCTAAACCCCAAAGCCCTAAATCCTAAACCCCTAAACTTCTGGACCCTAAACCCCAAAGCCCTAAACCCTAAACCCCTAAACTTCTGGACCCTAAACCCCTAAGCCCTAAACCCTAAACCCCTAAACTTCTGGACCCTAAAGCCCAAAGCCCTAAACCCTAAACCCCTAAACTTCTGGACCCTAAACCCCAAAGCCCTAAACCCTAAACCCCTAAACTTCTGGACCCTAAACCCCGAAGCTCGAAGGCATCCCCCTCGACCCCCCTCCCGACCCGTCTCCCCAGTCAAACAAGGCAAAGTGCTGAAGCCAGATGCCACCATCATCATGAACCTGCTTCCCGGTGAAGGGTTTAGGAGGGAAGGAGGGTGTTGGTGGCTGTGTTTTGGTCTTGGGGATTTCGGGTTTTAAGTTTAGGGCTTGCAAGGGCACGGCGATGCCGAAGCAGACCCGGACCATCAGCATCTGCTACGCGGAGAATTCCGTGATTCGGCGCATGGAGCGCTATCGGACCATGACCTCATTGCAGCAGCTGGAGAGCTGTCATCTTGCCGCCTGAACTCATGTCCCTAAGAAGATATGGTATGCTTCCCTTACTAATTCAGCGGTGTGCGGGTGAATCCAAGACATCAGAGGTGTACAACTCTGGGATCAATCTGCCCGGCATGAAGAAAAGACGCAACCGGTGCTACTACAGCGGGACCTCCCACGGACAGGTCATTCAGAACGTTGTGCACAGCCTTATAAAATCCTACATGCGAAAACCCTCAACCGCCTGCCCGACATCCCCCTCGACACTTCAAGGTTCATGGGCAGTTATAAGTACGGGTATAAGGCCCTGATATGGGTTACAACTGCAGTGACCCTACTTACAACCCCACTTATATCTACCCATGAACCTCCAAGTAGGCCCTAAACCCTAAACCCTTATAGAACCCCTATCAAAGGAACCCGTATAGCTGCACATGAACCTCCAAGCAGGTGCCAATTCAGCACCACCACCTCTCAAGTCTCTCAGAGCGGCCCCGCCAAAGCCTACAAAGCACGATACTGTGGTGGAGGGTTTTAGGGTATAGGGTTTAGGGTGTAGGGTTTAGGGTTTGGGGTTTCGAGTTTTGGGTTTAGGGTTTAGGGTTTACCGTGAAGATGCCCAAAGGCGTTCCACAAATCTTTTCAACCGCTTTTCATACTCCCAAATCCCAAAGCCCCGAACACCCATATTTGTATGTGCTCAGGTAGCTTTGCACTTCAGAAGTAGTTAGCATCCCAATCAGGGTACGCATAACTCATTACCCGCACGTAAAAATCCCGAAGAGCGTTCGAAATGCAATAGAACCCCGGTGCAAATCCTTATAAGCCCGGGCTGAGCAGTACTAAACCCAAACCGTAAACCCCAAAACTCCTCAACTCTAAGTCAAGATCCTGAAGCCCGTACCTAGAGCCTTAACCCCACAAGCCCTAAAGCCCTAAATCCTAAATCCCCAAACCCTTAGCGAACCCGATAGAACCCTGAAATGCAAGCTTTAAAGATCCCTGAAGAGTTATAGACCCCCGAGCCCTCAAAACCCTTGGACAAATCCTCATACACACAGTAACAGCTGAACCCCAAGCCCCTAAGCCCCATGATCCCGAACTCCTAAACACTTATAGAGCACTTGAATCCTGTGCGAAAACTTCTACAGAGCGCTTAAAGGGAACCCGTACAGACCCCTACTTGCAGGTCCATGGGTAGTTAGAAGCGGGTGGCTGTAAGTAGGGTAACTTATCGCATACATGGGGACTTTTACGTCCACTTATAACTACCCTGAGCCCTAAATCCTAAACCCCGAAGATCCTGTAAAGGAGCCCCACTTATAGCTACCCATGAACCTCCAGGTAGACCTTAAACCCTAAGCCCCCTGAACCCTACACCCTACAGGGAGCTATCCATGAACCTCCAAATAGACCCTAAATCCTAAACCCCCTAAACCCTAAACCCCAACCCCCTACAATTTGCTACTCATAACTGGGCTCTTGTTAAGGGGTTTCAAATAATTTAAGGTACCACTTAAGATCCCTATTATGGTGACTTCCATGAGAATTCCTAAGCAACAAACCAGATAGCTACCCGTGAACCTCCAAGTGAGGCCCTACTTGGAGGGTCGGGGGACTTAGTAAGTAGGTAGTAAGTAGACTTACATGTTCCCTAAAAGGGACCCTAATTGATGTTCTGGTACTTATAAGTCCCCAAAATAACCAGTTACTAAGTCCCCCGACCCTCCAAGTACCAAACCCTAAACCCTTATAGAATCCCTATAGATCCCTTTAAAGGAACCCTAAAGGAACCCCTTATGGTTACTAAGTCCTCTAAAGACCCTCCAAGTAGACCTGAAATCCCAAACCTTAAGCCCCACACCTGAGATCCCTTATAGTAGCCCCTATAGACCCCTTTAAAGGAGCCCTTTAAAGGGAACCCTAGGGCCCCTAACCAGTTACTAAGTCCGCTAAAGACCCTCCAAGCTAAGTGTCCGAGGCTGGTCGGGATGACAGGCACGGGAAGCTCCGGGGGACCTAAAGAGATCCTTGGCGTTCTTCTGGTTGGCTCTTAGGACTTTAACTTTTTGGGTTTCTATATGAACTATAATAAGGAGGCAGAAAAGTTTAACTTTTTGGAGGGGTTCAGAAGTCAGCCAAGGATCGAGGCCATGGCTCCCCGGCACCACTTTCGAAGGGAGGTGGGGTTAAGGGTGGTAGGGTTTAAAGTTTAGGGTGTAGGGTGTAGGGTTGGGGTGTGGGTGACTTAAGGATGCTTTAGCATGTTTAAGGCATTTTTGTTTCTCTGTGTGTGTGTTTTTGAACTTATGTGTCCTTTTGTTGTGGCTTTGTCGGGATGTTGTGCAGTTTAGGGACGTTTGGGTTTCACCAGACAGTAGGATTTAGGGATTAGGTCTTTTGGGGTTCAGGGTTTGTGTGTTAGTTTTGGCTTTAGGATTCAGGGGCTGAGGATCGAGACTGGGGTCTTGTTCCACCCATCCGAGTAATCTAGGGGCCTTGATAATTACCAATACCAGTTAGGGGGGCTCCTTGTGAGAACAAAAAAGTATAATATACCACCAAAACCTAATCTAGTTATGCGGGCCCCTACATTAGCTCGGGTTGAGGGTTAAAGGTTGAGGGTAAAGGAGCCGAAGCATACGGATGGGCAGGGCAGGGGTTTCATTCTGCGATTCATCTATGGAGCAGTTGTGGCATAGCGGTTGACGGTTGAGGGCTGCCAGGGTTGGACTGCGAGTGGGATTTAGGATTCTCATCTTTGGGTGGGAGGTTCCCTTACACCAGAAACCGCCCTAAACCCTGCTGAGGGGCTTCTCGCTACGCACTTGTCCTTGTTGGGGTGGCAATGCCGTAAGCAGGGAGAAACGGAGTACAAAGAACAAGTTCGCTAAACCTCTCCGGAAGCGAGTTTTGGAGCACCATACTTAAATACTTGCCTTCTTAAAGGAGCCATTATGAAAACAAAAAGTTTACATTTTCTCCGTGGCTACTTAAAAGCCCAGGACAAGGTACTTGGAGGGTCGGGGGACTTAGTAAGTAGGTAGTAAGTAGACTTATATGTATCCTACAAGGGACCCTAATTGAGGTTAAGGTACTTATAAGTCCCTAAAATAGCCAGTTACTAAGTCCCCCGACCCTCCAAGTACCAAACCCTAAACCCTAGACCCATATAGAATCCCTATAGACCCTATAAAGGAACCCTAAAGGAACCCCTTATGGTTACTAAGTCCCCTAAAGACCCTCCAAGTAGGTACTAAACCGAAAGCTCAGGTGTCGGCAATCCACGGGACCTGCTGCAGCGACAGCTCCGAGGTCTGGCTCTCGGCATCTGGAGAGTGGTAAGTCACAACTTGGGGGTACTTAGAAATATTTCTTAAATTTTTGGTTATTATAATCCCTAAGAAACAGCTAAAATCAGAATTTTTGCTAGGGTTCTAAGTTCAGTATAGACAAGGGTTGGAGATGGTGTGGGCAATTTGGCAACAGAGTACCTTTTCCTCCATAAACTCCGTAAACCCCAAAGGGTTCAATTAGTGAATTAGCGTCTTTCGGAATCAGGCTTGGTATCACAGATGTTACTTTTTTGAGGACCCTACAAGATCATGTTGCAGGTTTGGGCTGGCGACTAGGGTTCCCTAGTAGCTAGGTCTCGCTCGCAGTGTCTGTTTTGCAACTGAAAGCCTTAGGCACCAGCAGCCGAAACTGTACCACCTGGACTTACGCCCTAAACCCTGCACACCTAAACCCCTAAACCCTACATCCTAAACCCTATACCCCTAAACCCTAAACCCTACACCCTGTTGTTTCGACTTCTTGCCCGGTTGCCCAGGTCTTCACGATCCGTACCCCGATCAACGAAAGCAGCGGGAGCGTTGGCTTTGAACCCTTTGGGCTTTAGGTTTCTTGTTTTGTACATCGATGTAAAAAAAACATTACAATTTACAGCTTTAGGTTTTTTGTTTCTTTGGTTTAGGGGTTTTTGGGGTTTGGGGCTTAGGGCTGAGAGTTTTGGGTTTAGGGCTTGGGGGTCCACCCGAAACCCCAATCCTGGAAGACCCCTCACCCCCGAAACCTCAAACATGAAACACCCAACTTTGACGACCCTAAGCTTTAAAAAACCCTACTTTAGAAGGGGCCCCCACCTTGTAATAGTGGTATAATAGGAACATAATAGGGCCCTATCATATAATCCTTATAGTCACTATGACAGGGTGGGGGCCCCTTCTAAACCCTACTGTAATCCCGCAGCCGACAACCTACAAACTCCAACCTTCCAAAACCCTTGTCCGAGAGCTCCAATCTGCAAGCGCCAAACTCTAAAAACCCAATCCCGAAAGCTCTGTAAATCGTCATGAAGCCATTACAAATCCTTTAAAATAAAAGGGCCCTCAAAACCTCAGCCCTTGTTGAGGGATCCTATAAACATCATAATTTTTTAAAGGGGCCCTAAGCAGCTTTTGTCAACCTTTTAAAAAAGAGGGCCCTCCGCTTTCCCACGGAGAGGAACCAACTCTATGGTTTTCTGCGGGCAGGCCGCCCGGCGAAGGCCGGGTTGAGTCGCGTTCAGGGTTCTGGGGCTTTGGGATTATAGGGTTCTAGGGTTCTAGGGCTTTGGGATTATAGGGTTCTAGGGTTTAGGGCTTTGGGATGATTGGGTTTAAAAGGTTTAGGGCCAGTGTAGAGCTTTGGAATTCGAGTGTTTCCAGGTTTGTACCGCCTCAGGGGTTCTAGGTCTTGGGGGCTTGGGGGCTTTGGGATTCCAGGGATCTAGGGCTTCAGGAGTTTAGGGGGCTTCGGGCCGCAGGGTTCTAGGGTCTCAGCCTGAGAGCTTTGAGTTTAGGGTTTAGGGTTTAGGGTTTAGGGGTTTAGGGTTTAGGGTTTAGGGTTTAGGGTTTAGGGCTTTCTGGCTTGATGCAAGCATCCAAGGGTAAGAGGAGGGACCCTTAATAAGGACCCCTAGGTATATAGCCTTAATGTTATATTCCCATTATATAGCCCATCATAGGGCCGGGGTCCCCATTAAGGGTGCCTCCTTTTCCCCTTTGAAAGCAGTCACTTCACTGCGATCTGGGCAAGATGCACCCAAGGATCTTTAGTGCGGAGTGCAAGTAAGAGTAGGATGTGCAACAGATATGGGTGGTTGTCAAACTAGGGTCCCTTTTTGGGTCCCTATTATAGTACGGCACCTAGTATTTAAGGAACCCAAAAAGGGACCTCAATTTTGACAACCACCCATATATGACACCTTACTGCTGCGCCATCTGGTGTTCTGATTCTACGCATGTGTCGTCTCAGCAGACGGTTTACATAGGGGACTGGTCCCGAATTTTTCAGCGATTTCAAGGAAGACGTGCATACAGTCAAGCAGTCAGATAGGTAGGCAGATAGGTAGATAGAAATAGAAAGATAGTATGCTTACATGTACCACTGACACACACACACACACAAGCACACACGGACAGACAGCTTCAAACCTGCAGCTGTCTGTCAATATCCTTTCTATGCTCTACCTATACCGTGATGTGTGCTTAAATTGACATTTTCCGATATCTGTTTGCACCTATGCCTACGTGAGGGCTTGATTGTTTGGATATAACGACCTAACGAACCCTCCTTCCAAGCATCTCTACTGGTCCGTCCATGCACACCTAAACGTACCACCGCGTGCTTTATGCATGCACAGGAGTTACGGTTTAGGGTTTCTGGCTTAGGATGCAGGCTTTGGATGTGCGCATGTCCGGTATTTCCGGATGCTAGTTGCAGCGCGATTCAGATAAAGAACATGGGTACAGTTTACACTACCGCCCTTGCTCGTAGCTTTTTGGATAGTCAATCCACTAGCGCTCTATACTATAGCCTCGGTCTAAACCCTGGTCCCCCAAATTCAAAGCCCCAAAACATCCCAAAACCCAGAAACCCCAAAAACCCTAAACCCCAAATAGCCCGAAGCAGTCCTCTGTAGACCTTCCCTGACCAGGCCGGGGCGCTGAAAGAGGCACTGGCGGCCAGCGCCGAGGTGTTTTCGGGATGGAAGAAGCCCTAAAGCCTCAAATCCCCCCAAAACCTAGATTCCTGGCGTTCCTTTCGGAGTCGTAAAAAGCCCTTGGCAAAAATTGCAAAGCTTCACAAACCCCTATACGGTATAGACCCCCATGTAACGCCGACAAAGCCCTCGTAAACTCATAGGACCATGTACAATCGTAAAAAACGTCCCGCAAAACGCTGTACACAGCCCCACAAGACCCTCGACTAAGCAGAATCCTTATCGAACTTGTGTGCTTTGGTTCCGCCGTGATTGCAAGGGCTTTGAGCTTCTAGGGTATGGGGATTTTTGGGATTTGGGCCTCCAAGACCTTTAAGGTTCGGGGCACGTTGGCCTTTGTTTGGGGTTTTAGGTTCAGGGTTTCGAGGCTATGAGCTCAAAACTACTTGGAGGTTCATGGATTCATGGGTAGTTATAAGTGGGGTTAAAAGTAGGGTAGCTATCATTATAACCCGAGTTAGGGGACTTATAACCCTGCTTGACTTACAACTGCCCATGCACCTCCAAGTACAGTACTTGGAGGGTCGGGGATTTAGTAACTGGTTATTTTAGGGACTTAGAAGTACCATAACCCCAATTAGGGTCCCGTTTAGGGTACTTGTAAGTCTACTTACTACCTACTTACCAAGTCCCCCGACCCTCCAAGTATGATTCAGCTTGGGATGGGGTAAATCCAGCGGAGCTAGCGCGACAGCTTTCGAAGGCACGGAGGCCACCCTTTCTTGGACCCAGAGACTCCAATACCCCTTAATTAAATTAAGGAATATACCTTAAATGATAATAGGATCCTTAATATAATTTAAGGAATCTTGCTTAATTAAGGGATATTGGAGTCTCTGGGTTCTTGGACCCGAAAGAACAGATCCGGGGCCCTGATTTCTGCGACTTTTCCTGGATGCGGATCTGCAAGAATGATCATCGACGGACCGATGTCCGAGTATATGGGAGCTGGAGCTTATTGCTTGTTGTGCTATTTATTGTTTAGGGTTCGGTCTTCTTCTTCTAGCACAACATGCCCCCAGACCCTTTCGAATTATGAAGTCGCCTACATTGTTTGCTTTGGGGTCGGCAGTCTCGAGTTATTAAGATTCTGAAGTTTTCCGTTTGGGGGGGGGGGCTGAAGCCCTAAGCGTTCGGATGCACGGTTTTGAGTCCGCAATTGTATGGTGCTGGGGCAGTTTGACACTTGAGGGTTGCGGTTGTAATATACGGACCTAAATAAGTACCAATACTCTTGTGGGGTTCCTTGTTATGATTATAGTATAATATACCCCAAAACCCTTTCGTTCGCCTCAGACGCATGTCCGATTCACCCCAAAACCCTATACTAGTTATTAAGGCCCCCTATATTGGGTTTGCTCTGCGGAGGCAGTGAATGCTGACTTCCCGGCCGACTCGTGGGGGTCCGAGCTGTCCGAAGAAACAGAGGGCTCACTCACTGCTGGGACTTTCAGAAAATTCGAGGTGCCTTATTTTAGGGTCCTTATAATAAGGATCCTACTATTTAGGGTACTATATTAGGGTCCCTTATTTTCGGAAGCCCCCTGCTGAGCACCTCAAAGATGATTACGTTTGTTTGTGCCGTATGGGCGGGCTGGCTCCACCGAGACGCTTCGGGCTCCCGGATACCTTCGCCTAAGTGGTAGTTATGATGGACGTAGTTGTTGTGCTTCGGAGTGAGGAGACAGGTGCTACTTAAGTGCAAACTGCTGCTTGATAAGGAGAAGCAGCTGCCCGATTCACTGACGCATTTTCTGGGTTTCAGCTGCTGGACATAATAGTACAGCGGCCTGAACAACTACTTGTACGGCCAATGTTTGTTGGATTCCTAAAATTCCGCAACCCACCCCTCTTCCCCGCCCCCATATTATGCTCAATGCTGGGGTGCCTCCAGTGCCCCAGCTGTGCCAAAGCCCGCGACTGTTCTCCCTCGGCGCACCTGTGACCCTGAAAGCCAAACCTTACTTGGAGGATCACGGGACTTAGTAAGTAGAGTCATAAGTACCTTAATTGGGGTTATAAGTGCTTATGAGTATACTTACCTTACTTGTATCCCTAGTTTCTACGTCCCAGGATCCTTCAAGTAAAGCCCTAAACCTGAAACTCAGCTGAAACGCCTCCGCCTTGCAGCTCTCTCAAGGCTTGGGGAAAAGATCCGCTTCGGCTTCGCTCGCAGGGTGGTTTTCGCCTATCAAGACTGGCCGAAGGCGAGACCGGCGATTGCACTTGTTGTCATGAGTGCAGTGTGAAAGCTCTTACATTGCAAAATCAATCCCGGTGGCTATTGAGTATATGGTCTTAAGTTGGGTCTAAGGTGCTTTTTGCATGGAGCCTGTACTGAAGATGCTGCGCCTTGAGTGTCAACCCACTGCATCCCTTGGCCCTAAACCCAGAAGTTTCAGACCTCACAGTTTCAAGCCGCAGGCTCCAATTTCGTAAGACCCTTGAGTAGGCAGACATGATTTTCAGTCTACAGTCGATGAGCTGCTTTTGTTGGTGTTGTGTGCTTTGGGAATTTTTGGCCTTCAGTGAAACCCTGAGTCCAGTATTTCTGAAGACCCACCACTCAAGATCCCAGGCAACTAAAGCTCACGGTTCAAGGTCATTGTAGGGGTCGGGATAGGGCTTACGGCTTGCTGTTTGTGGTTGGATGGTCTGATCTCAAGTTCCACTTTACCGTTCAGGGGGGGGTTGTTACATAACTTGCAACCCACCTCTGATATTACAGCAAACTGGCAGTCACGTGCATGTACCTCCAGGTTTCTTAGATTTGCAAGCTTCCTCATTTTCATCCCTACCGTCAGTAGTATCAGTGGTAGTAGCGGTAGTACGGTTGATGATATAAATCCTGCATTACCCTAAGGACCCTAAACTAGATGGGTAATGCAGGATTTATATCATCAACCGTAGTAGTGCGAAGCCGGACGTTCACTGCCAGGTGTAGCGGGATGCCTTTCGAGGTGTACGCTCGGAGCTGCGCATGAGCCTTTTGAGAAGCTCAGACGCCCCAGTGTCTGCCGCACGGGCCAGCCAGAATTTTGCGGTTCTAGGTTCTCTTCAGGGTTTAGGCTTGAGGGTCTTCATCGGCACATGTCCAGCTTGAGTATGGGTTTTGCTACTCGGCTGCAGAGGTCGAAGATTGGTTGTATGGGTATGTATGTTGACGGAAGATGAAATGTGATCTCAGTATCAGTTATGAGGTTCTCCCTCTTGCTCTCGTGCAGTGCTGGCATTTTTAAAGCTGCACGCGAGACTGGTGGGTGCTGTTCCAAATTAGCATTCCTCGTGAGGCGCCTGCTTAATCGGCAGTGTCGTGCACAACAGGCGGTCAAAGGGATCTTCGTTTGGAACCGCCCTCACAATTTCTTCGATGAGTTTATGCAATCTGCAAAGTTCACCGGAGCACCAGGTGAAAAAGAGGCTGCACCGCCGTCAATGCGACCGAATGGTTGCACGATCAATATAGGGCCTTAATAATTACCTGTACTATTTTTCGGGTTCCTTACTAGATTTATCGTATACTGGGCCCCAAAACCCTATTCATAAGGCCCCTATATGACACCCTTCAACGTCTCAAACCTCGAGCCCGAAACCCTGAACCGGTAAACCCTTAAACAGAACACTACACCCATAAGTCAGAAGCCTGAAGCCCTAAAACTCCAATTCCCCGAAACTCCTAAACCCCCAAACTCTAGACCTTTATAGATTCTTTATAAAGTTCTTAATACAACCTTTCAATAGGAAGCCTAGGAAGGCCCTGTATAGAAAACCCTAACTCCCAAACCCTACTTGGAGGGTTGGGGGACTTAGTAACTGGTTATTGTAGGGACTTATAAGTACCATAACCCAAATTAGGGTCCCTTTTAGGGTACTTATAAGTCTACTTACTACCTACTTACTAAGTCCCTGAACCCTAAACCCTATACTACCCTTAAAGTGCCCTTTTAAGGAACCCTTAGAGTCCCCTTTAAAGGAGCCCTTACCAAGTCCCCTAAAGACCCTCCAAGTAAACAAAACCCTTACGGACTCATAGACCGCCTTACGGGACCCTTATAGAATACTTGGAGGTTCATGGGCAGCTATAAGAGGTCCTTTAAGGGTCCCTTTAAAGGGACCTATAGGGATTCTCTAAGGGTTTAGGGTTTTAGGGCCTACTTGGAGGTTCATGGGTAGTTATAGCTGGGGTTATAAGTAGGGTAACTAAACTTATAACCGATCTTAGGGTTGAAGAACCCCACTTATAACTACCCATGAACCTCCATAAGCCCTAATCCCTTATAGATCCCTTATAGGATCGCTATAAGGAGCCCTGTAAGGTATAGAACCCCCCTAAACCTTAAGAGGCAGCCTCCCGCCGCGGCGCTACAGAAACCTGGGCTGGAGGGCTCTGGCCTCGAGTGTTCCCTTTCGGGGTTTAGGGTTCGTTTAGGGTTTAGGGTTCGTTTAGGGTTTAGGGTTGGGGGATTCGTTTAGTTCGTTTAGGGTTTAGGGTTCGTTTGGGGTTTAGGGTTGGGGGATTCGTTTAGGGTTTAGGGTTGGGGGATTCGTTTAGGGTTTAGGGTTCGTTTAGGGTTTAGGGTTGGGGGATTCGTTTAGTTCGGTTAGGGTTTAGGGTTCGTTTGGGGTTTAGGGTTGGGGGATTCGTTTAGGGTTCATCGTTTAGGGTTTAGGGTTCGTTTAGGGTTTAGGGTTCGCTTGGGGATTAGGGTTTAGTTTGAGGTGTAGAGCTAGTGTACGGTTTAGCGGTTAGGGTTTAGTATAGGGTCTAGGGTTTAGGGTTTAGTTTAGGGTTTAAGGCTTAGGGGCTTCGAGTTTAGGCTGGGCAGCGCTGTGCCAGGGTTTTTAGGGTTTGAAAGGTGGTTTTTGGGGGTCGATCGGAATGTCTTTGCTGGGTTGGGCAATGCTTCATGTTTATAGGGTTGTATTAGGTTTCATAGGCTTCCTTGTGAAGGGTTATGTACGGGACATAAGGGTTGCAGAGCTCCGGGTCTTTCGGGTTCAGGGCTTTAAGGGTGTGGGGTTGAGGATGGCTTAGAATGTTGCTTTCATGATTCAGGATGCCGTTTTCGGGATGTCCAGCTACCTGAACCTACCAAACCCTACTACCCTACTTTTTTGTAGGTTCTTATTATAAACCCTACTATGGAATTTCCAGGGGCCCTACAAAAAAATAGGGTTTTGGTAGGTTAAGGTAGGTGTTCGTCAAGGTGTTCTAGCGAAGGGTGGTCGTGCGGGATTCTGCGTCGGTTTTGGGAGTTTCGGGGTTCGGGGTTTATATCCTTGGGCCTCTGAACTCGAAACCGTAGCCATGGGAATGGCATGTCGCTTTCCTTTGAGCATGATGCAGATTCCTTTTCAGTGTTTCACTTACAGTGCGCGTCGTGTACATCACCGTGTCACCGCTGCGCCTCCTCCTCCTATTCCTGCTGCACGCTGCTGCTGGTTTTTTACTGTTAGTTTCTTGTTCCATTGCTGCTTACTGCTGCAGCTGCTGCTGCCACTATTGCTGCTACTTCTATTACTCCTCCTGCTGCTGTGCTGATGCACTGCACTACTGCTACTGCCACAACTGCGACTACTGCCACGACTGCTGCTACTGGAACTACTGCTACTGTAACTACTGAAACTGGAACTGCGGCTGTGACACCAACTACGAAAAAAGCCGAAATCCAGAACCTTAAACAACTAAGCCCGAAAGCCTCGACCCTAAGCCACAAACCCCCCCTAAACTCCCTGATCCTGTGAAGTTATAGTACAATATACCCCAAGACCCCATTCTACTTATTAAGGCCCCTATGTTAAACACACTGATCCCCAAACTTACCTTTGGTTAGTTCTGAATGGAGGAATGGGGTACAATTATAACTACTACTACTACTACTACTACTACTACTACTACTACTACTACTACGACTACTACGACTACTACTACGACTGCTACTACTACTACTGCTACTGCTACTGCTACTGCTACTACTACTACGACGACGACGACTACTACTACTACCACTACTACTACCACTACTACTACCACTACTACTACCACTACTAACTACTACCACTACTACTACTACTACTACTACTACTACTACTACTACTACTACTACTACTACCATTCCAAAGGTAAGTGATAGTGCGAACGGACTGCGATGCCTTGTCAAGTTCTAAGGTGTCACTATAAGAGCTGTGAGCAAGACCGTGTAAAGTGCAAGAGAAGGGGGCACGCTACGCGTCCCTCGACTCTAAGGGGGCACGCTACGCGTCCCTCATCTTTACCTTTCTATGTGACCGCCCACGCAACGTTTGGCTCAAGTCAATGCCCATAGCTAAGTGCTATATGTGTCTTCTATCCTGAGCAATCAGAGCTATCCCGTTGCACAGACGAACCGCCGCCGGCAGTGAGTGCAAAAGGAACGGCCGCCGGTTCTGCCTGCATAGGATTGCACGTGTGGAAGTGTGAGAGAGACAGGGTCCAGTCTGTGGAGAGTGCAAGCCAGCCACACCTACATTCATTACAGCTCTGGTGGGGAGAGCAGCAACCTAGTCGAGATCAATCCCCCACGCAGGTTATCAGCCGTACGCGGCTCTGCCTTTCTACAGCAACGACTACTTGATCTACTACGACCACAATGAACTCAGGATCAAGTCAAGATACGACAATGACTTTCGGTGCCGATGTGGCAGCGCCAGCCGTTGGTGAGTCAACAGCTGATGACACAGTGGTGCAATCCGTTGATAGCTCCACGGAAGATGACAAAGGTCAATCTTCTGCGCTTGCCATTGCAAAGGCAGTTCCCAAGGTGAAAGCAAAGAGTCTACCAAGAGCATCTACGCCTTCGCGTCCGACATCCACAGGTTCGAGGACGGGCAAGGCTCCAGAACGACGAGCCGAAGCGTCTGGTTTTCAGGCACCTCGGACTACGTCCAGGGCCAAGGACAAAGGAGTGAAGACCTTGGAAAAGAAGTCAAGACCATCATCTTCGAGAAGCTCTTCAGCACGATCAAGGACTTCGGTTACTCGTGGGCGTGACAAGTCCATGACTTGGAATCGGATGGTTACCAACCAACCACGCGATGCTGACGATCTGGATATGACTCTGGACACTATCCCAGCACGTGGTGATGCGTCATCGGTGGCCACGCCAGCCATAGCCGATGGTCCGAATGCTTATCAGGAGCTGACGATTTCGCAACAGTTCGAAGCATCGAACCTTGCACAGCAGATGTACTATCGCAGTCAGATGCAAGAGTACGAAGGAGTTGTCCAGACCCTGATGGACAAGATCAAGGAGATGCAACAAGAAGATGAAGGATCTGGAATTCGCATCGAAGAATTGGAACGACAACGTGACCATGCATGCTTAGCCATGAGGCACATCAACAATGTCAATCAGGAGATGAAGCGAGACTATGAAACAGCTTTGTTTCGCATGGATGAACAGAACTCTGCTCAACAACGTCAAGCACATGCCGTTGCCGAGGAGTTAGCTCAACAGCTACACGTGTTCCGCACGGAAGCAGCCACTAACTTTGTGCAGTTGGAGGCAAGAGCGCAAGGCGATGGTGAGCTTATGGCACGTGAGTATGAGCGTCTGACTCATGAACTTCATGAACATGCCAGAGAGAACTTGGTCCTCCGGTCAAACACAGCAAGTTCGGAACAAGCCTTACAAGCAATGCAGGAACGATTCCACTTGGTCAAGAACCAGGAGTTGCGGGCCGTGAACGAGATCCAAGGGCTAGCTGGAAACAGCGCAGCCATTGATCAAGAACGACTTCGGCTTCGCGAACGTCTTGGTGAAGAGGAAGAGTACCGCAAAATGGCTGTGAGGAGGATGCAAGATGCAGAGGACCGACTTCATCAGAATGAAGATCATGCAAGGCGAGCATTGCCTACCTTGCACGACGAGCTGAGTGAACTCAGGAAAACGCTCAAAGCACAAG